AGGGTCTCACTATGTAACTCAGACTCATAGTGATCCTCCTGTTTTCAGCCTCCCCAGCACTTGGATTACAGGCATACACCACCATGCCAGGACTGAGTGGCCCGCTCAGCGAATATTATGAAAATAACTGAGCGTTAAGTGGCCCAGGGGTGGGGCCAGCATGGCCTGTGGGGCTAGGGATTGAACTCTGATCCCTGTGCTTGCCTAAGCAGGTATTAGTCTGCTGAGCTATCTCGCTGGCCCATGAGATACTTCTTGTTCTGTGCCTGATTTGTATCACGTAACCTAATCACCTCTGGTGCCATCCATGTTGTTGTAAATGACAGAATCTCATTCTTTTTTAAGGCTGCAGCATATTCCATTGTGTATACATACATTTTAAAAATCTATCAATTGATGGACACTTCGGCTGTTTTCATCTTGGCTATTGTGTTTAACGCCACAACAAACATAGGAGTAGTCGTGTTTCTTCAATATCCCCAGTAGTGGGGTTGCTGGATTCTACGGTGGTTTTATTTTTAGGACCGTTTTTTGAGAAATCTCCATACTAATTTTCATAATAGCTGTATTAACTTAGATTCCCACAGATAGGGAGGTGTTTCTTTTACTTCACATCTTTGTCAGCGCTTATCTTTTGTCTTTTGGATAACCATTCTTACCCAGTGAGATGTTACCTCATTGTGGTTTGCCTGTGTTTCCCCGTTTGAGTACTACTGTTGAGCATTTTTTTTTTTCCATGTATCTGTTGGCTGTTTGTATGCCTCCTTTTGAGAAATGTCTATTTAGGTCTATTGCCCAATTTAGAACCGGGTTATTTGGAGAAGCTCTTTTGTGTGTGTACCAGGAATTGAACTCAGGACTTTGTGCTTGCCGGGCAGGCCCTGTGCTGCTGAGCTATATCCCTGACTCTATTTGGAATTTTTGTTATTGAGTTTTTAGAAAAAAATTTCATTTTACGAGTCAGAGATTACCTTGTCAGATAAATAATTTGCAACTATTTCTTCCCACTCTGTATGTGACCTCTTCACTCTTTTGATTCTCTTGTGCAGACGTATAGTTTGATGGTTGAGTGTGGTGGCACAGGCCTGTAATCACAGCCCTCAGGAGGCTGAGGCAGGAGGATCGTGATACCCTGTCTCAGAGCTTTGCTTGATGTTCTTATTGTTTGATTTACTTTTTTTTTTCTTTGTTTCCTGTGCTTTTTGGGGTCTTGTCCAAAAAACAATCTTTGCCCACCCAAATGCCCTGAAATATTTCCTTTATGCTTTCTTTTAATAATTTCATGTATAATTTTTTTTTTTTTTTTGGTGCTAGGAATTGAACCCAGGGTTTCATCCTGAGCTACATCCCAGCTGTCTGTCTTTCTTTTTCTTTCTTTCTTTCTTTCTTTCTTTCTTTCTTTCTTTCTTTCTTTCTTTCACAAGATCTTGCTATGCAGTTCCAGCTGGCCTTGAACTCCCTATGTACGCCAGGCTGGCCTCGAACTCAAAGTGATCGTCCTGCCTCAGCCTCCTGAAGGATCAAGATTATATGCATGAGTCGCTGTGTCCAAGTACTGGTCTTATATTTGTCAAGGGCCATTCCACTTTTGGGGAAAGGTCATTTCATAATTAAACAGTGATTAGGACTGTCCGAGGCCTAGTATATTGCCTTGCAGGCTGGCCATGGTACTAAGAAATGTAACTCCATGCCCCTCTGGTTGTGGTTGGGGCCTCAACCTCTCGTGATGCTCTGAAGCCCCAGGGCAAGGTTTCATGAGCTGGAGAC